AATACTACTCATCCATAAAAAAAGAATGAAATAATGCCATTTGCAGCAACATGGATAGAACTAGAGATTATCATACTAAGTGAAATAAGTCAGACAAAGACAAATACCATATGATATCACTTATATGTGGAACCTAAAATATGACACAAATGAACCTATCTTTGAAACAGAAACAGACTCACAGACATAGAGAACAGATTTGTGGTTGCCAAGGTGGAGGGGGTTGGGGGATGGATGGAGTGGGAGTTTGGGTTTAGCAGATGCAAACTATTATATATAGAATGGATAAACAACAAGGTCCTGCTGTATAGCACAAGGAACTATATTCAATATCCTGTGATAAACCATAATGGAAGAGAATATAAAAGAGAATTCCTCAGCAGTCCAGTGGTTAGGACTCAGCGCTTTCACTGCTGAGGGCCAGGGTTCAATCCCTGGTCAGGGAACTAAGATCCCACAAGCTGCACAGCACAGCCAACAAAAAAAAAAATTAGAGATTAAAAAAAATATATATATATATAGAGAGAGAGAGAGAGAGAAAAGAATGTATAAAAAGAAGAATGTAAAAAATTAGAGGTTTAAAAAATATAGAAAAGAATGTGTATATATATGTATAACTGAGTCACTTTGCTGTACAGCAGAAATTAACACAATGTTGTAAATCAACTATACTTCAATTAAAAAATAAATAATTTTTAAAAAGAATCAGCTTTTCCATTTCTTCAGAAGGGTCATTGGAATTTTGATAAGGATTGCATTGAAATTATAGAAGGCTTTGGGTAATATTGCCATCTTAAGAATATTAAGTCTTACAATTCATGAACATAAGATGTCTTTCCATTTATCTAGGTCTTCATTAATTTCTTTCAACAATGTTTTATAGTGTCAGTGTCCAAGTCTTTCATCTCCTTGGTTAAATACATTCCTAGGTATTTTATTTTTTTGGATGCTACTGTAAGTAGAATTGTTTTCTTAATTTCCTTTTTGATTTGCTCCTTGCTAGTATATAGAATTGCAACTGATTTTTGTGTGTTAATCTTGTACCCCACTACTTGTCTGGATTCATTTATTAGCTATAGTGTGTGTGTGTGTGTGTGTGTGTGTGTGTGTGTGTGTGTGTGTTTTCTTTGGAATTTTCTATATACATGATTATGTCATCTGCAAAGAGAGATGGATTTTTGTTTTTAAATTAATTAATTTATTGATTGATTTTTTGCTGTGTTGGGTCTTCGTTGCTGCATGCGGGCTTTCTCTAGTTGCAGTGAGCAGGGGTTACTCTTCGTTGCAGTGCATGGGCTTCCCATTGCGGTGGCTTCTCTTGCTGCGGAGCACAGGCTCTAGGCCCACGGGCTTCAGTAAATATGGCTTGTGGGCTCTAGAGAGCAGGCTCAGTAGTTGTGGCACACGGGCTTATGTGCTCTGCAGCAGGTGGGATCTTCCCGGACCAGGGCTTGAACCCATGTCCCCTGTGTTGGCAGGTGGACTCCCAACCACTGCGCCACAAGGAAAGCCTCATTTTGGGGGTTTGTTTTGTTTTGTTTTGCCACACTGCTTGTGGGATCTTAGTTCCCTGACCAGGGGTCGAATCCAGGCCCTCAGCAGTGAAAGCACAGAGTCTTAACCACTGGACTGCCAGGGAATTCCCAAGAGATGTTTTTACTTCCTACTTTCCAACTTGGATGCCTTTTATTAGATTTTCTTGGCTAACTGCTCTGGCTAGAACTCACAGTATAATGTTGAATAGCAGTACTGAGTGGGTATTCTTGTCTTATTCCTGATTTTAAGGGAAACGCTTTTCCACTGAGTATGATGTAGCTGTGGGTTTTTCATGAATGCCCTTTATCATGCTGAGGAAGTTCCCTTCTATTCTTAGTTTTCTGAGAGTTTTTATCATGAAAGCGTGTTGGATTTTGCCAAATGCATTATCTACATCAATTAAGATGATCTTGTGAATTTTTTCCCTTCATTCTATTAATGTGGTATAACATTGATTAATTTTCTTATGTTGAGCCACCCTTGCATTGCTGGGACAAATCCCACTTGGTCATGGTGTATAGTCCTTTTAATATGCTGTTGGATTCAGTTTGCAACTATTTTGTGGGGATTTTGCACCTATATTCATGAGGGATATTGTTATGTAGTTTTCTTGTGGTATCTTTGGCTTTGGTTTCAGGATAATACTGGCCTCAAAGAACTAGTCAAGAAGTGTTTCCTCTTCTATTTTTTGGAAGAGTTTGAGAAGGATTAGTGTTCATTTTTCATTGGATGTTTTGTAGAATTTACCAGAGAAGCCATCAGGTTCTGGTTCTAGGCTTTTCTTTGTTGAGAAGTTTTTATTATTTGTTTGTTTGTTTGTTTTTTCGGTATCTGGGCCTCTCACTGTTGTGGCCTCTCCCGTTGCGGAGCACAGGCTCCGGACGCACAGGCTCAGCGGCCATGGCTCACGGGCCGAGCCGCTCCGCAGCATGTGGGATCTTCCCGGACCGGGGCACGAGCCCGTGTCCCCTGCATCGGCAGGTGGACTCTCAACCACTGCGCCACCAGGGAAGCCCCTATGATCTAAATTTTAAAAAAATTATTGAGACTTATTTTCTGACCTAACGTTTGGTGTACCCTGGAGAGTGCTCCATGTATACTTAAAAAGAACGTGGGGCTTCTACCAGTTCTCCCTGCCATAAACTACCTCGTTATATGTAAAACAAGAAGGAACAAGTGGCGAGGGTGGTGCAGGTTTTGTGAATTTGTAAAATTTTAGCAGAGCTTTACTAAGTGATTGCTAAGTAAATTCCCTCTCCCTCTCTCTTTCTCTCTCATTTCTCTATCTCTGCCTCTATCTCTGTGTGTGTCTCAAGTTTATTCTATGTGCACTTGCAGCTACCAGGACAGTGACGTTTCTACTCACAACATTATAAATTGATATCATGAATAACTGACATTTAAATTTAGCACTGTGAATGGATGGTGATAAAATTGAAGCTGTTCTCCCAAATACTTATGGAAATCCATTCCATTTTTAAAAACTTTCTTGCACAAAATGTTCCTGGACTCACCATTCTTAAAATGAAAAAGAAAGAAACCTGCCTTCTTGACATTCCTTAGTGTGACTTTGAATTTTATCTCACACCAAGTACAAGTTCATACTGGAAGCTTTGCAGGCTATCAATAGAACTCTGCTCACCCGCCTTATTTTAAAGCTGAAGCATGTTAAGCCCTTTAAGCCTCTCCTCATAAGACATACCCTTCATCTCCCGAATTAGTCCTGGTGCCTTTGCTGGATCCTCTCCAAGATTCGGATATTCTTTTAAGCTTCATGTCCCTGTCGTACACCATGCAGTAGTTTACAATCACTGAGAGTTCCATTGCCTTAAAATTTCATTTAATTTATGGACCCTAACAATTTTCAGCCTCCATGTCTTCTCCATGCTTACAGTGTTTATAGGAAAAACACATTTTCCTAATTCTGATGACTATAGGTTACATGTGCAATAAATGTATGTTTCGTAAGAAACGAAAAAACAAACCAAAATGAAACAAATTAAAAAAACCAAAGTACAGTGGAACTCAGAGGTCCCCGACCCTGACCTATGATTTCCCATCTGCAGGTGTTGGCTCCTACTATCTCCTGCAGCTGAAACAGCATTCCTTCCCACCATAGTGGTTCCAAAGCTGATGCATTTTGGAAGGATAAACTCTAAGGTGACTTCCTTCCTCCACACAGTCTTCTCTAATGCCCCAGCTAGAAGGTATCTCTGACTTCACTGAATACTTTACATATATTCCTTGTATGGTAATTACAGTCTAACTCCTATTGTTCTTACTTATGTGTCTTATTGTTTAAACCAGAGAGCTTGACCTGGTAGCCTGTGAGCTAAACCCAGTCTGCAAGTGAATTTTGCCTGGCCGGCACACTTGTTTCATGTAAAAAATATAAAAATCATTTAAATCATGAATTTCTGGCTTCTCTTGGAAATACTGGGTCCAGACAGAAACAATAGGCTAGGGCTGAGGAGGGGTCACCCCAGTTTGCTTCTTGGGTCACTTCACTCATTCGTGTTAAGTATGGAGCCCAAGTGGGCATTTGAATTTGCAATACTTAGTCACAACTTTGGTATTCTTGAGGCAGCATCTTGTCTTAATTGTCTTTATAGCTTGCAACAGGCATGTAGTAATTTGTAGCTGAAAAAAATAAATGCCTATGGATAGACAGGTAAGTCTTACTTCTTTTTTTATTTTTATTTTTTAGTAACTTTGAGGTAATGTCAATGGGATCCGACCAATTTCTCCCATTCCCCTATTTCATCATAACATCTTAGCTATCAATAAGTATTTATTCACCTTCTACTAGGCATTGAAAGCTTGGAGATACAAAACAAGCAAGTGTGGCACCTTGCCCTGCCCCATGGGGGTACCGTTTGAGGCAACAAGAAATAAGCACATGAAATAATTTGTGAGCAAGATATCATTGTCATTTCAAGGCAACACAGCAAAGTTTTAACAGATGAGACAGTGGAGTCAGACAGAGTTGGGTTTATATCTCGGCTTTGTACTTACAATCCTGCAATGTATGGTAAAGTATTTAACTTTCCGAGCATTAGTTTCCTCATCTGTTGCTGGTCCCATTTCAAGATTTAGACGGGGACAACAATCACATCTGCCCCGTAGAGATGCAGGAGGGTTAAATGAGCTGACACGTGTGAAGTCCTTGGCACAGTGTCTGGACCTGGTAAATGTCCTACAGATGGAAGGAGTTACTACTGGCAGCTAAACAGTCCAGAATCCTCTATAGAACGTATAAGAACATCTAATCAGTATGCAAAATTCACCGATCCCTATTTCCCATATACGTAATCTGTATTATCAGTTAGTCTGCTATACTCTACTAAAAAGTGGCTGCTAAATAGTCAGTTTACTCCTATGTGCGATTGCTGGCTTTGTGTGGGTGTGATGGAAAAGATCAGTTTGTCACCATGAGTCTTTTCACACTGTGGACATGTAAATACCAGCCCTCGGTCTGCAGCTGCAGCTGCTATTTGCAGCGCTGGGGCCTCTGAGATGGGATTCTGCAGCTCAGATTTATTTTCTGACCGGTGCCTTTGTTTGAAAAGACTCTGGTCCCGCTCAGCTGCCCGGACCATTGCTGCTGTCACACAGTGCCCTCATTTTCCTCCCTGGTTGAAGGTGTGCTTCTTCCCTCATCTCACTCCCAGAAAACTCAGGGAAGTGACCATCATCATTTAGTAAACGTTTCCAGTGTCCCAGGCATTCTGCTAAGCATTTTACATGCATTATCTCCTTTCATATTGATAAAATGCTGCATTTCTATCTTCATTTTAAGATGAGGAAATTGAGGTACAAGGAGGTTAGATAATTTTCCATAGCTCACAGTTAGGAAGCGGTGGAGCCAGTATTTGAAAGAAGGTATGTTTACCAGAATCCAAGGTCTTAACCATTAACCTATATTTCCTCAAATAAATTTAGGTTGGGCTTCCCTGGTGGCACAGTGGTTGAGAGTCCACCTGCCGATGCAGGGGACACGGGTTCGCGCCCCGGTCTGGGAAGATCCCAGATGCCGCGGAGCGGCTGGGCCCGTGAGCCATGGCCGCTGAGCCTGCGCGTCCGGAGCCTGTGCTCCGCAACAGGAGAGACCACAGCAGTGAGAGGCCCGTGTACCGCAAAAAAAAAAAAAAAAAAATTTAGGTGAATATCTTCCCTTTGAAAACACATGTCTCCCAATCCTAAGATGTTCATTGATCCCTTAGCATGACAAGGAAGGTGGCAAAGATGTGTCCTGTCTAGGCTCAGTTCATAGATCTCCGTAGTGCCACCTGCAATGCTACTTTTTAAGGGCTCCGGGAAAATGAGGACAATGCAGTGATCAACTAGCAAAGTCTGCAAAGGACCTTCAGTATGTCTATCTATTGATTATGAAGGGGAAAGTTCCAGAAATAAGAGTTTCAGTGTCTTCATTTTGAGGGATGTATCAATAGAATGATTTCATGACTTAGGACCACAAGTCAGACAAAGTCATAAGCATCATATAAAATATTCCTGAAAGTTAGATTGGCCTTAGTTTCCATCAAGAAAAATAGAGAAACATTTTCATATCTTAGTATTTAGTCAAGTTCGAAGTCTTTTAAGTTAAAGGGAAAAAACATTTATGTATCTTCAAAACCTGTTAAGCCCAAAAATCTTTAGATATAACTGAGAAACCCAGGAGCATATCTTAAAAGCGGAAGAAACACAAAATGAAAGGAAGTGATCAGCTGGGTGTGGAGTTGGTCCAGAGTTTCAGATACTTGACAATAGACAGAGAATTGGGTAATACAGGTTAGAGGGCAACCGCCTTTCAAGTTTCAAGACCCAAAACACAGTGACTGTAAGAAGAAGCTCAGGTTGACAGTGGAGTCAGGAGAAGAATCGCTAACTATCTCTGGGGTTCCAAGTCTCAAGTCTGGACCAAATCTCCAGTCCTAAAAGACCACCACTAACTGGAAGGTATCTATCTTTACTGTGAAAGGGCAACCTCAGTTAACGAGAACAGTAATCATCTTCATTAAGTGAGAATAATGAATTATTTTTAAAACTCCAGGAAGATTTAGAACTAAGTGTAGCAAAGGTTGAGAGAATCAAAACCATGGTATTCTGTTAGGATGGCCATCAAGAAACAACAAGTGCCGGCACTTACTGGTGAAAAGGGAATCCTTATACACTGTTGGTGGGACGTAAATTAGTCCAAGCGCTGTGGAAAATATGGAGGTTCCTCAAAAAATTAAAAATAGACCTACCATACCATCCAGCAATTCTGCTTCTGGGATATACCCAAAGGCAAGTAAACAGGAATTTTTTTTTTTTTTTTTTGCGGTACGTGGGCCTCTCACTGTTGTGGCCTCTCCTGTTGCGGAGCACAGGCTCCGGATGCCCAGGCTCAGTGGCCATGGCTCACGGGCCCAGCCGCTCCGCGGCATCTGGGATCTTCCTGGACCGGGCCACGAACCCGTGTCCCCTGCATCGGCAGGCGGACTCTCAACCACTGCGCCGCCAGGGAAGCCCATAAACAGGAATTTGATGAAACATATATACTCATTATTGTAAATACACTTATTGCAGCACTATTCACAATAGCCAAGAATGCCCATCAGTGGATGAACGAATAAAAAAGATGTAGAAAAGACTATATACACAATAAAATACTATTCAGCCATGAGAAAGGAGGATATCCTGCCATTTTCAACAACATGTAAGGACCTTGAGCACTTTATGTCAAGTGAGATAAGCCAGACAAAGACAAGTAGTGTATGACATCACTTATATGTGGAATCTAAAAAAATAAAACATATAAAAACAACAACAACAGAGAGCAAAATTATGGTTACCAGGGGACAGGGGGTGGCAGGATAAGATTAATAGTGTTTAAGGGTACAAACTTGTAACAAGTACTAAAACAGTGATAGGGATTTAATGTACAGTTTACTGAACATAGACAATAATACTGCACTATAAGTATGTAGTGTGATAAATATCATAACAATGGCAACCATATTAAAAATATAATGTACCAAAGTAACATGATGTACACCTTAAATTTATATAATGTTACATATCAAATTTATCCAATAAAAAAGTTTTAAAAACCATGGTAATAATATCTTTATTTAGCACTTGGCATTTGTACTGTGCTATTTAGGAGACAGTCTTGTAATTCCAATTTAAATATGTAATTGAATAAATGATTTAGATTTGTGGTTTTAAGTTGAAATCTCACTGAGTTCATTAGCAGATCTCAGAGAATTTTATTTTACACATCACCCAGGGTTACTTAAGTATTTAAAGTTTTATTAAATTCATAAAAGTAAAATATTTAAAAATAAAACCAAATATAGTAAATTTATAAAATCTAGCCTATTAGAGTAATGTGCTGTTTAGAGAGATAATTTAGCGAACCAGATGTGTAAGTGGAACAATCCGATTATGCTGTCTCCTTAAAAGTGATGGCTAAATTTTGCCAGAGGTAAAAATATAATCACTAGATTTGTAAGCTCAATTTAAAAGCTTAAAAAAAAAAACCCTAGGTTTATGAATGTGTGATTATAATCAATTTCATGCTGATTTTTTATTCCAAAGTCAACTCTGAATGATCTTTTCTGCATACAAAAGCTTCCAGCTCCACCCTAAACCTTCCATGCACAGGAAGCATCCTTTACCTGTCATTTAACTCAATTACAGTCTCGAAATAAACAAGACTCCTATGCCCAATCCTTAAAAGAGACCTGAATTCAATTTAGCTCAACGCCCATTTATGGAGCATGTCCTCTGGGCCTAGCACAGTGTTAGCACTGGGTATTCAACAATGAAAGGACCTAGCGTCTGCCCTCAAAGAGCCTATAGTTTGCTGGGGAGACAGACACCTTGCAGGTCACCACATTATCACACTCAAAGTAGTGCATGGGTTGAACATCTTTTCAATACCACCCAGTGGACTACAGCTCACTGTTGCTGATGCCATCTTGCCATTGTTGGTTAAGTATGGTTTGCTGGTAAAACCAAGAAACTATTTAAGAAGCCAGATATGACTTCTTTCACTGGTTAAAGAATACGTTCCCAACATAAAGACTGCTTGGAGTCAGAGTTGCATTAGACACACAGCATGACTTGCTTCTCCTATATTCTTTATCAGGGTTAATAACTCCACCATTAACCCAATCATCTGAGCCAGAAAATTTAACTCCTCATTGACCCCACCATTCTCCAAGATCTACTAAGTCTATTTCCACCGTAACACCGTGGTCATTTCCCTTCTCAGGGACAAAGAGAGATTACCATAATTGCACACATAGATCAAGTCACCTGTTACATTCAAGTGTCTTTGCTTCTGTATAACTTGCCTCCTGGGACATACTCCCAAGCAGAAGATCAACAGAGTCACATCCCAAACTTATTTTACAAAAATGACCTAAACCTCCCGTAGCACTTTTTTTTTTTTAACATCTTTATTGGAGTATAACTGCTTTACAATAGTTTCTGCTGTATAACAAAGTGAATCAGTTATACATATACATATGTTCCCATATCTCTTCCCTCTTGCGTCTCCCTCCCCCCCACCCTCCCTGTCCCACCCCTCCAGGCGGTCACAAAGCACCGAGCTGATCTCCCTGTGCTATGCGGCTGCTTCCCACTAGCTATCTATTTTACATTTGGTAGTGTATATATGTCCATGCCACTCTCTCACTTTGTCCCAGCTTACCCTTCCCCCTCCCCATATCCTCAAGTCCATTCTCTAGTAGGTCTGTGTCTTTATTCCCGTCTTACCCCTAGGTTCTTTATGACCTTTTTTTTTCCTTAGATTCCATATATATGTGTTAGCATACGGTATTTGTTTTTCTCTTTCTGACTTACTTCACTCTGTATGACAGACTCTATCCAGTAGCACTTTTAAAATCCTACGGTTTGCATGTCATCCTGGGCCCTCCATACAGTACACTGGCCATCTCCCATGAAGTTTGGATCTGTTCTATAATCCCAATTAGGAAATTTAAAATTTTCTCCAGAAAGGTCTTAAGGAAGGAGGAGGTTCGATTATGCTATCCAAGAGCCTCTTAGATTAAGAACGTCACCACAAAATTTCTTCTGATCCTCGTGTGCTGTCTGAATCCCCCAGGCTAACACCACGAAGCAAATATTTAAAAACTGCAACTAGGACAACCAACTTGGAAAAAATGCTTGGCACCATTTACAAAAGCTGAACATGACCTGGTAATTCCACTGCTAGCCACCCAACAGGAATATATTCTTATGCACACAAGATAACAGCAATATTCATAATATCAAAAAACTGGAAATAATCCAATTGTTCACCAAGACTATAATGGATAAATTGTGATCTATCCACACAAAGGAATATTAGATAGGAATGAGAATAAATGATATGGATGAATCTCACAAACTAATGCTAAACAAAAGCTACTGGACACAGAAGATAACACACTATACACTTCCATCTTATGAAGAACAAAATAGGTAAAGCTAATAATCTATGCAGTTAAAAGTCATAATATTCTGCTTTTCAGTCTAGATGCTGCCTACACAGTCTAGTTGCTATTGAATCTAGATGATGGATCATTATACCTATAGAATGGGG